ACATACCACACTTTCAATTACAATATCTTATACAATACAATAATATTCATATAATAAATTTTATGTTTGCATCTGCTGATTTATTTATGATCGATCATACATTTAGTTTTCTTCAAATTTATCTTACGTTATTATCCATGTTATTATCCATAACGTTCTGTAAATTATTGTTGTTGTCCGTCATAATTACTGTATCTTCTGCAAAACGCAAGTTATTCAAAACTTGTCCATTGACAGATATACTCCCTACGAAATCTGAAAGTGTTTATTTAAATACAGCTTTACTGTAAACATTAAGGAGTAGTGCTGACAGCACGCCTCCCTGAAGGACTCCTCTCTGTATTTTGATATCTCGAGTGTTATCAACTCTTACTTTGACAATTTGATTTCAATATAGATTAGATATAATTTTCATACCACCACTGTCAATATTTTTGGTTTTTATTATAACGAGAAATCCACAATTAGTATCAAACCTGTCCGAACAAAAAATTACGTAGGTCTTTTTTAATCTAAATTTGTATCATTGATTAATAAACTAATTTTGATTAACATTGTAAAACATGAAAAACTCAGCCATAACTTTTAAACCCAGAACATTAATCAAAAATCAAAGAAATTAACAAAAATATAAGTAACAATAATAAATAAAATCAAAGAAGATGCTGTTAATTTCCACCATCAACATCTCTACATAACGTAATTCTTCTTCTCATTGAGATGATACCGTTGTTTAGGACATACATATTATTATTTAAATATTCAACGTGACTCTCTATTATTTGTCCAAGATCTTCTAAATCCGCTACGGGAGTGTTAAACATCGAATTTTTTTATATTGTGGCCACAGAAAGAAATCACAGGGAGTCAAATCACAGGATCGAGGGGGAATATTTAAATAAGGGCGTATTTAAACTTATAACCCTAGTCGAAAAAGTCCATAAAAAGCGTTGTATGAATTCGATAAAAGTAAAAGATGCTGTCGAACAGGTAGCTAAACTGAAATGGAAATGGGCTGAACATAACGAATCTCTTACAGATGGCCGATGGAATAAAGAAATCGGGAATTGGTGGCCATATGAAGCCACGAGGAAGACCGCAAATTCGATGGAGCGGCTATATTAAAAGAACTGCAGGACCAATGTGGAAACGCAACAGAGATGAATGACGAGAATTAGGAGAGGCCTATATTCGGCAATCCGAATAGGGAAAGGGCTTAAAAAAATTAATTCCAGCTCCGTCTTGCTAAACATGTCCTATGAATTCATCATCCATCAATTGATTTATAAATAAAGTTAACATTTCTTGACGGCATCTTTCAGCATTTAGAACCTCTTCCAAAAATTTGGATTCTACAATACGTCGCTTGCTTCTGCTAGCCCAAACTTTAAGTTTTTGTGGATATAAAGGCGTTTCGAAAATAATTCGGGTTATCTGCATTCCTCATATTCTGAGAATTTATGTACCCAGAAAGATCAAAAGAGACCAGACAAAACATTTGATTTATTTAAAAAAAAAACTATTAAGCAGACAACAGATATTAAATACTTACATTAAAATGACCTAAACATATATATACAGAGTTTGATAATGAACTGAAATAACTTTAAAACCACTTTAAACGCAATTTCTTATCGACTGGTAATTGAATAAATATTTTATTGAGGGGTTTTAATGGTTCTACTTTTACACAATGTTACTAAATAATACTTATAGTGTTTACTTTTTTTTCCATAGTAAACACAGGCAATTCATTACTGTACTTTCAAAAACATATGAAATGCCAATATAAACAAAATAGTTGATACTTTTGTACGAGACAGGAGAACTGTCTTTACAAAAAAATACTTTATGACGTCACAAGTTATAGCGCTTTTTCTGTTGTTTGAAATGATTTAAATACACAGAATAACAACAAATACAGCTATTTTTTTATAGCCCTTTTTTTATCCGAATTGTCAAATAAAGGCCTCTCCCATTTCTCGCCATTCATCCCTGTTGTGTGCTAGGCGTTTCCACATGGGTCCTGCGACTCTTTTGATATCGTCGCTCCAGCGCATTTGAGGTCTTCCTCTTGGTCTCTTCACATCGTACAGTCGCCGTTTCCGACTTCTTTGTTCCATATGCAAATACAGACGGCATCAAATACAGTTATATACAATAGAAATAATAAAACCGGTCCTTGTATATGGATCAGAGACAATCCTTAGACACATATAAGGGGATGAAAGAAAATGGCATATCGCGCAGACGATATAATTTTGAACTATACATAGGATACAATGAATCCGAGGTCATAACATCCATAAAGATCGAATGTTGAATGGGTCATGTTGAACGGATGTTGGAGACTTCTTCTTCTCTTCTACTTTTTGGAGATCTTTGGATCTGTTTAATTCTGAAGCTGTCTCTCGGTATTTTATTTTTTATTAATATATTTTAAATGTTTACCAGGCGAACCCTGTCAAACGCCTTCGTCAGATTAATGAGGCAAATAACATGACATGCACAATTGATCTGAATTTTGTGGCATAAAATTTCTTTTATATATTTTTTTACCAATTATGCCCCAAATGTTTTTAATTGGATTTATATCTGGACTGTGCGCAGGCCATGGCAATACTTCCACGTTTTGCGTTTGAAACCAATTCCTTACGGCATGGGCAGTGTGAACTGAACAATTATCTTGTTGATATATAAAAGTATTATTAGGATACAATTGCTCAATAGAAGGGAGCATTACGTGTTCCAAAACGTTAATGTAATTGTCGGCAGTAAATCTTCCCTCTAATCGCCAACAAACACCAGGTCCATGTATACTAATCCAACCCCATACATTTACAGAAAAACGTCCAGATTTATTATGAGAGTGAATATATCGTTCTCCAAACCTAGTATTGGCTGGACGATAAACACGGACTTGACCGTTATAGGTCGACTGAAAAGTCTTTTCATCAGTAAAAATGACGTTGTTCCAAACTTGTGGGTTGCCGTAAATAATATAGTTTATTGCAAATATTACTCTTGCTTGCCGATGTTCAACAGTTACTAATAGTTTTTTAGCAGCTGGTCGGTTTTTTAATTCAGATTCATTGATCCTTCTGCTTACAGTAGGTTGGTTGGGCACCAGGAAATCCCGTATGAATCCTTGAATCCTTCGACGTCGTAAATGGATTATCTCTTAAGAATTTAACTAAAGCAGCATCTTGTTGAGAAGTGGATACTTTGGAACGCCCTGAACCAACTTTTCTTTTTAATGATTGTTGTTGGACCCATCGTTGCTTAATTCTGAAGATTGTTTTCAAATTTCTATTATAGAAATTTGCTAGCGCACGAATTGACCATCCTTCTTCCATTTTCGTAATTATTTGAGCCTTTTCAATCTCACTTAAATGACGAGGCATATTAATTTTTTATTGTACGTAACGTTAAACCTTCTCAATCAAATTAAACGTCTTTGACGTCTATGAGTTGCATTTTTGATCACTTATGACATTTGATAACCTCCAAAAATCCCAGCCGGTTTTACACAAATAGGATGACGTTAACTTCCCTTTCTAATACTTGTACCCTTTTTTTTTAATATAACTGTAGAGTAATTTATTGATATTCAACCGTTCTATATAACTTTTTATAAAACACAAAACAGTTTAAATACTTTTAATTATTTCAAAATGGCATTTTCTATTTTTTTATATTTCACAATAAAAAGTATTTTTAGCATAACCGAAAATGTATCCAAATTTAATCTCGTTATTAACTTATTTAGTTTTTTTTTATACATTTATTGTAATTTTATTATTGAATCACAAGAATAATAACAATTTAATTATTTAATAACCAAAATGATTCTAGCGTCTGACGATACCAGCAATTAGTAACGAAAGAAGAAAATTAAATAGACAATCAGGTCTCACAATTCCAGCAGCTGATTTTTTTGTTGTGGGCGCATCTGGTACTGGGTCTGGTTTTGGTGGATCGGGCTCCTGTGCAAACGCAAATTGTACCATTATAACGGCGATTATGCATATCAGTAATATTCTTTGCATTGACATTTTCTTTATCGTTAGATGTATTAATATGTTGGAGCTAATTTGATGACAGTTCTGTCTCCGAAACAATCTTCAACCTTCAATCAGGTTGATGATTGTTTCGGAGACAGAACTGTCATCAAATTAGCTCCAACATATTAATACATCTAACGATAAAGAAAATGTCAATGCAAAGAATATTACTGATATGCATAATCGCCGTTATAATGGTACAATTTGCGTTTGCACAGGACCCCGATCCACCAAAACCAGACCCAGTACCAGATGCGCCCACAACAAAAAAATCAGCTGCTGGAATTGTGAGACCTGATTGTCTATTTAATTTTCTTCTTTCGTTACTAATTGCTGGTATCGTCAGACGCTAGAATCATTTTGGTTATTAAACTTATTTAGTGTTAATATCCATGACTGTTTGACAAACCAGGTTTTTGTTCTTTGTAAAATTTAGAATTTAATTTTTTACTTACTTTCCATTCCGACTCTCTCATTTATAATTTCATATGCTACTATTTGGCTGTTTATATAATATTATCTTACCAACATTAACTGGTAGTTGTCGCTAGATGATGTAATTTGTACCAATGCCTCTCTAATACAAAATCAGTTTTCAGTTTGGATGAGCTCATCTATCTGCTTAGTTCTTAATCTACTCTACACCACCGGCAGACTTTTTAGTTCTATTTACCTTCCATTTAACTAGTTAATAATTATTAGTAATAGTTCAGAGTTCTTTGATCCGTTAAGAACATTTAACTATTTATCGAAACAATTTGAAAAATATTGGTTCATGGCCACCGATTTTATTAAAACTATTAAGGTAATTTTCTTTATTTACTGAAGAAGAATTCGTGCAAAAAATACGTTTGACATTGTTGGCAAATAAGATAATCGAATGTTTCTTCAGATATAAAAGGAAAAATCGTTGAAATTATATTTAGTTGTTGAATTCAGTTTTTTATAGAATTGTGTCCATTTCTATCTTCGGTAAGTCGTGTTTGTGGTAATTTGAAATAACTTGTTTACTTGTTTATTTAACTCTGTAATAAAATTAAACGTATTCTACTTGCATTCGATAAATAATTTTCTTTCACTATAAAAAAACAGTATTTATCTTTCACGGTTAAATTTCAATTGCAACATTATATAGAACGCAAGATATTTATTATCCATTTATTTATAATTAAAAAAGTCTATGATTGTATTATATTATTTAGACACAGGTATACAGGTACTACAGGAGGTAGTTTTCACTGCCTTCCCTAGCTCAGGGATGCTAAATTTTTAAGCATTTTTCATTTGTTTAATAGTATTTTATTCTTTTCGCTGTGGTACTTTATTGGCTGATTATGACTAGCTCGTTTATCATTTCAACAACATTTATGATACAGAAAAGACAGTTGAAATTTGATTTCACGTACAATTCGTTTATACGTATTTCATTATTTCATGACTCACTAGAGCGACTCAGTAAGAAGCCTTGAACGTGAAATTAAATCTTTTTCGTCAAAGGAAGTAATAATGAAATAACTTTCTATCGTATACTGCGACAAGTCGTATACTGCGACATCTAAAAGAAAACAAAAAATTAAAATCCGATGATTTGAATTTTACTTAATATTGTTCTGAAGCTATTTTCTTGTGGCATTTTAAATTAATTACTATTTAACTGGGATAACACAATTAAAGATAAAAATACGTTTATTGACGTTTCAATTTCCACTTCGGAAATCGTTCTCAAAATACAAACATTTTGTATTTTGAGAACGATTTCCGAAGTGGAAATTGAAACGTCAATAAACGTATTTTTATCTTTAATTGTGGCTTATTCCCAGTTAAATAGTAATTAATTGAATTTTACTTGTTCGAAACCAAAATTCAAATTCTTACTTAAACATGTACCTTCTACGATTTACAAAGCAAGCTTTCTTCAGTCCATTCATCGTATGTTTTCTTTGTAAATCGGAGAAAGAACAGATTTAAGGAAGAATTTGAAATTTTGGTTTCGAACAAGTAGGAATCTTTGGAATTTACTTGTTGCTTTAATATTTGAGATAAATAAATATTTGTATAATGCTCGAATAAATGAACTTTGATCAAATGAAAAACAGATATTAATCACAGTTTTATGAACTAAATCTGGCCCAAGTACTTTCGCTTCCTAGAGCATCTTCAGGGATATTTCGTCAATTTTGGCCTATCCAACAATAATTATAGAATGTCATAAATCTAAAATAACATTGTTATGTAATGTACAATTTTATGTTTATGACATTCTATAATTGTTGGATAGGCCAAAATTGACGAAATGCCCCTGAAGATGCTCTAGGAAGCGAAAGTACTTGGGCAAGATTTAATTAATAAAACTGTGCTCGATATCTGCCTTTTTTCTTATTTATACCTATAACACTGTCGTCATAACAAAAAAAATTACATATTTTCTACAAGAAAAAATGATTCTAATAACCTGAGAATATTCTTAAATATATTTATTGTTGTAAAAAATATACTTTATGAAGTATATTCACTGTCATCGTGTCAAAAGAAAATTTGAAAAAGTACTTCGGATGTTTATATCTATTGGTTCAAAATGAACAGGTATTTAAAAAGGAAAACTTTAAAATGATTATTTATTGGTTATGAAGACAATTCATTGATCGTAGTAGGATCTGCTATTAAAAATCTAAACACTAGTAGTTGAACAAATGCCCGAGTGAGCTAGTCTAGTTTTTGTTGCATTACCAAACAACATAAGTACCAACCTTTTTACATCGAGATGCATTAAAATATGTATGGAACTTTCAATGAAACTTAAATGTTTTTCTATATCTACTTAAATAGGTTAGAGACTAAGATGATTTTTTTATGATGAATAATAAGATAATAGCATGAATCCAGCGTTTGATAATAGAGGATTAGTTAATTGCCACAACTTTTATTTTATTATAATATCATACATTAAACATTTATAAAATCGATATACGAGCACATCGAAACCAGGAAGAAAAAAACAACAAAAATTTTAAAATACCATGCTTTTCTACTCATATACAGCAGATAAGACATGAAGCACATTGGTGTCACCTTAGTGAAACCATTGCCCATATGAGTTAGATACCAGATAAGTATTGGACGCTGGCTTCGGGACTCCACGGAAGTGAACGCAGGTAGAAAATATGTTCCTGACCTCGCACGTTAGATAGGTTGCCGCCGAGGAACCTCCTCTTCTACCACTCTTCTCAGAGGTCGGCACTGGTTGTATGCTTACGGGGAACGGTTAGATGGCTATTGCTTTTAGCTCATTTAACTACACCGAGGTTATGCAAAATAAGAGTAGAGTGACCCCACGTGCATTCGTCACTAATACTAAGAACAGACTTGACTGGACGTCTAGCAGCCCTCGTGTGTGATTCTGAGATCACGACACCTCAAACAGCTCCTTAAATATTATTCCTTCCCATAAGTCGCCTTTTAGGACAGGCAGCAAAAAGTGGTCCTAGCAGGATTCTATCGCCACTGTTAGATAGCGTAGCGGAAAAGACATGGACGAATTCGTGTACCCTCTGATGATAAAGCATCAGCTGGACCCTGATATTCTTGGCCTTTCGGCGTACGACCGTTAGCTAACCACTACCCCTACGAGTCCGACACCATTTGAGGGTGGCATGTTACATGAAACAACACAGGGCTCCACCCCTCCCCGTAGTACCTATGTTGCGGTACGCACACCGTCCGTCATCATGAAGAAATAAGGCTAGCTTAGGAGGGGGTCTTCTGCTTAACGTTAAATTTGGACATAAAGCATAGAAAATATTAAATATATCAGCCATAGAATCTTGAAGACATCTTAAATGAAGAATCTTGAAGATATAAAATGTAGAAAACAGTAAACTACATATTATATCAGTTTATGCACCAATATACGTATCCGATATCTACAAGATATCATCGGTAAGATACAGAAGAACAAAATGATCAATATTTTTAGAGATCTTTGGATAAATGTCTGTAAGAAATTGTCTAAGTGTTGCTACGCTCTGATAGTCGAATATTTTTTCCGTAATAATCGCATCGGATAGTTGTTTAAAGTTGTTTTCCAACCCCGATGGGAAAAAGAATAATTAAAGAATAATAGTATAGACACCTTGGAGTATGGACGCCACATTTAATTTTGTTTAGGGTACCAACTCTCTCTCATTTGTGTCTCGCCTAAAGTTTGACAGCGACACGTTAGCAAACGCTGCTTATTATTATATAGCTACCTAAGTTGATTACTATCATAGACAACATCTTTAGCTCATCTTAGTTAGTTGTCTTTAATTGTAAATAGTGTTACTGTGTGTTTGTATTTCACAGTTGACGCAGGTGAGATACGAACTTTACGAATGGAGCTTGATCAGATCTTATTTATTATCTTCTTGCAATAGTAATAAAGTTAGCCCATAAATTAAATATTTGTTAATTCTATTATTTCTACATCCGCATGCGGTCCTTTCATCTTCAGTTGATTGAAATGCTAATTGCGCCTAAATATTAGTAAGATGCCAAAATTTGGGATGATTTATTAAAAATGTTCCCTCTGTGTTTTATTTGGGCATCCCTGACCGCCATTTCCAGAGCTGTATTGAAAAGGAGACACGCCAGCGCATCTCCCTGTTGCAGCTCAACATGCGTTTCAAATGCCTGTATTTCAACTTTGCAAACAACTTTACGCATTGTAGCCTTAACCAATCTTATAAGTTTATCAGGGCTTATTTTATTGCTTATATGCTAATAATTATTTCACCTCTATGAAACTAATTGATTTTTTAACAGAAAAGGAAATAGGTTAAGTAGGAACCATACGAGCAAATAGAACAGAGAAATCTCCTTTCAGTGAAACATTCAAGAAATACGTGAAATTTACAAAAACTGGTACGACGGAAAAAATAAGATGCTTTTGTGTAGGTGGAATGACAACAGTATAGTTAATTTGGCATCGAATTACTATAAAACGACGTCAGTTTATCAAGTAAACAGATACTCCTTTGCTCAAAGCGAAAAAATCAAAGTAATACAACCAGATCTTATTCGCGCTTATAACGAAAATATGGAAGGAACTGATCGAATGGATCAAAATGTTGCCTAAAACAGAACAAATATAAGATCCAAGAAATGGTATTGGACTTTATTTTTCTGGAGTCTTGATGTATCTATACACAATGCTTGGTTTATTTACCGTAGAATGAGACACATTATCCCTGAACAACCCGAAGTGGATTTGCCGCAGTTTCGTCAAAATATAGCCAAAACCTTGTTAACGATGTTCCCGGAACTCCTCCAAGAGGACCTGGTCCATCTCATTCTTCCATAAACAACATTGACAATCTTATTTCTACCAAGAAAAACGAACGCGATGCGTCCTTTGTCACTTAACAACCAATAAAAAATGTATGAAATATAAGGTTGCCTTACATGAAAAACTATGGGAATTGGAATACTTGTTTAATTTATTTTTTCTTGTATAATTGTTGATGGCTTGTGCTCAAATAACAGTAAACTTTTGCATGTATTTTAGATAATGAAGGTCTTATTTGTCATTTGCTGCTTTATTGCAACTTCCTGGTCTGCAGTCTCAGAAAAAGCGAAATATACCACCAAGTATGATAATATTAATTTGGAGGAGATAGTACATAACGACAGACTATTAAAAAATTACGTTGATTGTTTAATGGAAAAGGGAAATTGTTCACCAGATGGATTGGAACTCAAAAGTAGGTTACATTTATCTATCTATCTATCTATCTATCTATCTATCTAAGATATATCTTTAAAGTATTATTAAAATTTATTTATTAGGACATATTAGGAGAGCTGTTTGATAGTAGCTTCTAGCTTCATATTAACAAACAGGATTTTGGTTTCTCCTGTTCTTTATATGTATTCTCTATCCAATGTTTCATTGTAGAGTCTCTTAGTGGATGCTGCAAATCAGTTCCCAAATTCTTTAGTCAATATATTAGTCTTTCGCCGAAGCTTGTCTTTTGCACTTCAATAACTTATATGGTTTTTTTGCTTAAGATATATCCTAGATATAATATTTTATCCATGTATAGGTTTTCAAAATTCTTTTATTACTCATGATCTCGAACTGTCATTGTATTTTACTACAAATTATATGTTGTGAATAGCTTGAAAGTTGTATGAATCTTGATCTTTCTATTTCAATTCTAACTTTTATTCCTGCAAATAGTTCCATACTGTATTAAATTCTGTATGAAGTTATACATATTGGACACAATTTTTTTAATTATAAGTCGTACACTTTTAATTTTTCTTTGATAGTTATCATGTTAATATTAGTTTCTACGCTATACATTTTACAAATTTCGAATACTTTGTTTTATAGTATTCGTTGTCCCATCTAATTATTATTGGCAAAACATGGCTATGGTGTAAAAGGTGAAGTGCGTACGTAGAATCTGTTTTCCTATTATTGAAAGCCCTTTTATGTTCTGCTATACGTTTGTTAAAAGTTCTACTAGTTTGACCGAAGTGTTTGGGCAGTCTTCTTCTTCTTAGAGTTCCGTCTCCCTACGAGTTGGCAATCATAATGGCTATTTTTATTTTAGAACTTGCTGCTCTAAACAAATCAATCGATCTGCATTGGTACCAATCACGTAGATTCTTTAACCATGAGTTCTGCCTTCGGCCAACAGATCTTCTTCCTTGAATCTTTCCCTGTATTATCAGTCTCAAAATTTCATATTTTGGTCCCCTCATCACGTGGCCTAGGTATTCCAGTTTTCTGGTTTGTATAGTGGTGATTAGTTCTGTTTCTTTACCAACCCTCTCCAGTACTTCTTTATTTGTAATTCTATCAGTCCATGATATGTTCAATACTCTGCGGTATAACCAGAGTTCGAAGGCCTCGATTCTTTTTAAATTACATTTTTTTAATGTCCAAGTCTCAGCTCAAGATGCTTATTTTACCACACTATCTCTTAGTACCTCCACACTGTCTCTTAACGCACCTGTTTTTTTATTTGGTTAGGTGATTGTTTATGCATTTCTCGATAGACTGATTTCCAAATAATTAAAATACATAAATTGGTTTCTTATTTATTTTCAAATACATACATTTGAAAAATACAAATATATAATATTTGAGCATAAAAATATTTTTATTTTAGAAAATATGCCTGATGCTATAGAGACCGATTGCAGCAAATGCAGCGAAAAGCAGAAAGAAGGATCTGAATATATTATAAGATATTTAATTGACAATAAACCTGAGTATTGGAATCCTTTGCAAGAGAAGTATGATCCTTCCGGGACTTATAAACAAAGATATCTTGAATCTAAGAAAGAGGAAGTTAAGGTCGAACCCATTAGCAAATCCTAGGGTTCCTAACTTGTGAAAAGAAGTTGATCTGATTTTAGTATGAATTAGAATATTGCTTTAAACTTGTGATAAAACCTGTAATTTTTAATACTTTTATTGTTAATAAAGCAGACGTTAATATTGCCTGTTTTTTTATTTAATTTATCCTTTAATTTTATCTTACACAACTAAGAAAACACAAAACGGAATTATGTTTTTTAACAGACAACAAGAAGAATCATTATTTTTAGAAAAATAACTTTTTCATATTTGTCGCTGTGGGTTTTTTGAATTAGGACCTAATATGCACCTCGACGTGTATTGCCCCGCCTTTTACAATTTAAAAAAAATTGTAATTGTTGATTGCTCTGAAAATGCCCGTATAAGGACGTGCTAAAGCATAGAAATAAGGGACATTTTGAGGCAATTACTCTCTTGGTCTCTCGTGTTAGACAAAGTGACAGTAGATGAAACTTACATCCATAGCGCTATAGCTCTAGTAGAATTCCGATCTTCTGTACTAGCCTTAAAAAAACCAAAGCTGTTAAAGGTGGTCTTCTTCTAACTAAGTAATGGATTGGACCGTTACTTGATGGAACTATCTATTTTTGGCATGCGTTTACACTTTAGTCTTTAATTTAATAGGTTGAGGAGAGGAGAACTATTTGTCTCCAGTTGGTCATTCAGAAGTAGGTCTGTATTTTTTATTTTGTTGATTTCCATAGATTCTAATAAAGATAACTTAGGGCCCTTATTTTAAATAAAAAAAATTTGGAATTCGTCATTAAAAGAATGATTCTGGTATAGAAGGTGAACTGCGTACGAAGAATCTGTTTTTCTATAACTGAAAGCCCTTTTATGTTCTGCTATATGTTTGTTAACGTTCTACCAGTTTTACCAATGTAAGTTTTTCGGCAGTCGTCACATTTAAGTTTTGTATACACAAGAATATGCCTAGAGAAGTTCAAGTAACATCTCAAATAGGAAGTAGCTTTGGAAAGAAAAGTAAAGTTAAGTAAAGTTAACACAAAGGCAAACTTTGTATCTAACCAATACATAAAAATAGCTCACATGGACATAGGTCTACTATATAAATATGTATACGAGTGGCACAGAATTAAAATTATTAGAAATGAATGCTGTAAACTACAAAAAGAATATCCCTCGATTAGGTAAGATATCACAAATATTTAAAAGTAATATCCTTATTTTATAAATACGTAGTACTTCCCAGTTCTCACTTACGAATTAAATAAATAATTGACTGAAAATATTGTAAATACCCTCAAGGATATAATTAATAATATGAAAAATATGCGAAAAATATGTGACATTGTTAAAATAATTGTCAAACCAAAATTGCAGACACTAACAATAATAATAGCACCTGCGGACGCATCTACATATGTATCATCACAAGCTGACGACACATCTGTGAATCGTTCAGTCTGTGTTAATTCCCGGAAGACGCAATATCTACGCGAGCATTCAAAAATATACTATTACATAAAGTAATATACTATTAAATAGGTTCCCGTGGTACAGTTAGTGTAAAATTTTGACTGTAATGTTGCAGCATCATATTTTTTCTATTAATACAAAATTCAACTTGTGGGTATAAAATAATCAACTGACACTTTTAAAATCTACGGTAATTTTTTTTATTATTGAAATTAACGTTTCTCGACATCTATGGCCATTGACACAGGTACAAAAGCATCTGGAATATTACATTATACATATAAGATGATTACATTACATAAGATAAATACAGTATTTTTTACACAATATAAATACAGTATTTTTTTTGTTTTTGAACGAACAATGTTACAATATTGTTATATACGATAATATAATCTACAATCTTTTAAAAAGTCAATTAGAGCACTGTACATATTTGGCGAACTAAGTATCTTTTTCAGGTTACCGTTTATATTATGAGCTAATCTATATAGTCTATAATAACTGCACTCGACGAGTAAGTGTTCTACTGTAAGGCGCTGATAATCACAATTTTCACAAGCAGGTGGGTTTTCGAAAGTCATCAGGTATCCGTGAGTGATGCGTGTGTGTCCTATTCGAAGTCTTCGAATTATAAGTTTGTCCGTCCTAGTCATTATAGGCATCTTAAATGAGTAAACAGTAGGATTGATTAAAAGAAGTTTTGAATTTTGTCCATTCCAATGATTTTGCCATGTTTTGCAAGTGTTTTGTTTTATGGTTATAATTGTTGTTATGGTTATATGGTTATTGATGTTCCCCTGCTGTGGTTTTGATGACAGATATGTTGAATTTTTTGGACTATCGGATCTAACGAGTATATGTTGGCAGTGGACTGAATTGAAGAAAGAGAATCAGTGCAGATAGCTAGAAATTTTGTATTAGGAGAAGTCATTTCAAGAGCTTTAAGGATACCATATAATTCTGCAGTGTGAATAATACAAGTGGTTGGTAGTCGATGTAGAGCTAAGGTTATGTTTTCAGTACAGACCGCACAGCCAGTATTGTTTTCATCTTTAATCATTTATAAAAACCAAAAAGATATTAATTTTCAAATTTATTAAACAAAATATTCTTCACATGTTAAATTAGATCGAAATATTAAATAACAACGTTTGTATTAATTAAATTAAATTATAAATTTAATTTAATTCAATTTAATTATAAACTAAAGTTATAAATTCCACTTGTGGGTAAGAAATAATCAAACGGAACTTAAAATCTATAGTAATTATCCATTAATAAAAACGAAAAAAAAACAATAATTTTCAAATTTATTAAACAAATATTCTCCACATGTTAAATTAGATATATTAAAAATATTAAATAAAAACTATTATTTGTTTACACAGAATCATCTTTAACAATATCCTCAAGGGGTTTTTTGTATTTGGTACGGTATTCCTCATCTTTATCTAATATTTCTGCCAATTCGTCAAACCAATCGCGGTGGTTTACATAGAGATGCTTTATAACTTTTTTTACTTTTTTCTTGTCTTCTTCGGAACACGTTTCTTTACAGGGGTTATCAAGAAGTATTTTCCAAATTGCTACAAAAGAAATATGAAACAATTAGTACAATCATGTTATCATTATTTTTAATTACCTTACAAAAAAAAATATTAAAAACTACGTGAAAATACATTATACCTGTTAGTAACAGAATAGCTTTGATCCGACTAAATAGCACACCATTATTTAATGTAATTATTATTTAGTTGTACGCTCTAATATAGATGAAAATAGCTACGACAGTAAAGTAGAATATTTTTATAGTAACTTTAAAAAGACACTTAAAAGCCTGAAGGAAATAAAGTGCGGTATATCCTTGGTGATTTTAAAGCGAAAATTGGAAAAGGTCAAGGATCTGACTTATTAGGTGCATGGGGACTTCTTCAAGTGCCATCTCCGCGGCAGAGGTCGGCAATCATCATAGCTATTCGGACTTTTGAGACGGCTGCTCTGAAAAGTTTATTTGATGTACATCTGTACCACTCTCTCAGGTTGCGCAGCCATGACATTCTACGCCTCCTATGCTTCTCTTTCCTTGGACCTTTTCCTGTATAATCAGTTGGAGCAAGGTGTATTTCTCTCCACGTGTAATATGTCCGAGATATTCCAATTTCCTTGTTTTAATCGTATTTAAAATGTCCATTTCTTTATTCATCCTTCTCAGAACCTCTTTGTTTGTGACGTGTTCTGTCCACGATATTTTCAGAATTCTTCTATACACCCACAGCTCGAATGATTCCAGTTTTTTCACTGATGTCGCATTCAAGGTTCAAGATTCCATTCCATAAAATAAAGTCGAAAAAATATAGCACCTTGCCAACCTAACTATTAGTTCCAATTTTAAATCCCTTGTACATATCACTCTTCTCATTTTGTTGAAATTTGCTCTAGCCTTTTCTATTCTAATTTTGATCTCCTGAATGTAATCATTTTTGAAGTTAATTATTGTTCCCAGATATGAATATTTGTCCACTTGTTCGACGTTGGTTCCGTTTATTAGAAGATTCTCCTTATTTCTTTGAGTTTTCGATATTTTCATAAATTTCGTCTCCTTGACATTCATTGTTAGACCATACTCTTTTCCATACTCCGCTATTCTAGTCACTGAAGATCTTTAATATTTTCGGCTAATATCACAGTGTCGTCTGCATATCTAATGTTGTTAATAGGAACTCCATTTACCTTTATTCCAGCTGTTTTACCCTCAAGATCGTTTTTCAGGATCTCTTCGGAGTAGGAATTAAAAAGAATTGGCGACAATACGCATCCTGTCTCACTCCACATCTAATTTTAATTTCTTCTGACAGCTGTTCGTTAACACGTACTTTTGCTCGCTGTTTATAGTATAAATTTTATACGATCCTAAGATCTTTTTTAATTTGAGAACATTAATTGTTCATATCGTACTTTATCGAATGCTTTATTATAGTCAATAAAACATGCGTATATATCTTGTATTGTATATATATCTTGTATACGCAAAACACATGGTGTTTAGGCGTTTAGCACATCAAGATGCACGATTATATGTTGATGGTCATATAATTCAAAGAGTGTCCAGTTTTAAATATCTTGGTTGCCATATTACTGAACAACTAGATCCAGATCAAGAGATAAAATGTAGAATCGAGATAGCCCGCACGACATTTTTAAAAATGAGGTCATTCTTCTGTAATGATAACTTGAAACTTCAACTTCGAAAGCATATGGTTAAATGCTACATTTGGTCAGTCCTCTTATATCCACCATTAATCGTCTGGAGGCCTTTGAAATGTGGCTGCACAGACGTATACTAAAAATTCCATGGACGGCTATGCTGACAAATGTGGCAGTCCTTGAGAGAGCAAATGCTGCTCGCGAGCTGCTTGATAACATCAAATGTAGAAAGATGGCCTATTTTGGACACGTAGTAAGGGGAGACCGATATAATATTCTTCAACTTATTATGATGGGTAAAATCGAAGGACGCAGAGGAATTGGTAGAAGCAGGCCTCTTGGTTGAAGAATATCAGAGAGTGGACAGGAATAAAGAAAGCTGAGCAACTCTTTAGAATAGCTCGAGGCAGAGACAGTTTCGCCATGGTAATCGCCAACGTCAAGAAGACTTGATAGGGCACGTTAAGAAGAAG